ATATAAAAAACATGATGTATAAAAGAAAAAAATTGATAAATGAGATTCCATCAAAATTTAGAACTTTAAATGACATCATTCAGAAAATGAAAAGTAGTCCTTAAACAGACCATATTTATAATGCATATAACCTATAACCAGAATATATAAAGAACTCTTACAGCTTATTAATAGACAACCCAATTAAAAAGTAGACACAAGATGATAAATAGCCAGTATAGCAAAAGGAAAGGTGTGCAACACTAGAATCAAAAAAATACTAATCAGTACAATAACAAGATCGTATTATACACTCATTAGGGAGATGAAGTCAGAAGTTTTAAAAGAACAAATGTCAGCTTAGGTGTGAATCCGTTAGAACTTTCTAATACTGCTAATGTGAATGTAAAATGATAAAACCATTCAGGAAAACAATATAGAAATTTCTTGTATTACTGTTAAGAACCAACAGTTCTGTTCTTAAGTTTTTACTTAAGAGGAACGAAAACACATGTTCACAATAGATTTGTACATAGAAGTTGACTATTCCTTGTCTGAAATTCTTGGGACCAGAGCGTTTCAGATTTTCATTGGAAATCCCCTTGCTCTGCAAAGAGGATAGCTACTCCTGCTTTTTTTTTTCCGGTTCCTGTCACATGGAGTATTGTTTTCCACTGTTTAACTTTCAGACTATGAGTTTCTTTTTGAACTAAGTATGTTTCTTGTATGGAGCATATTGTTGGATCTTGCTTCTTGACCCATTGTGCCAGTCTGTTTCTTTTGATTGGTGAATTGAGACCATTAACATTGATGGTTATAACTGATATGTATTGACTTATCGTCATGACTTTTTCTTTTTGTTGGATTCTCCCTCTTTGTGTTTAATTTCTTGTCGCACCCAACAGATTCATTCTGCTGGGCTTCCTGGGGTTGTGATCCTTGTTGTCTTTTCCTAGGACATTGTCTAAAATTTTTTGGAGCACTGGTTTGGTACTCATGAAGTTCCTAAAGTGCTCTTTGTCATGAAAGTATCTTATTTCTCCATCAATTTTGAAAGATAGTTTTGCAGAGTACATCAATCTGGGTTGGAGGCTGTTTTCCTTCAGGGCTTGCAATACATTACTCCAAGCTCTTCTTGCCTTGATGGTTTGTGTTGAGAAGTCTGCTGTGATTCTGATGGGCTTTCCTTTGTATGTGATTTATTTCTTTTCTCTAACTGCTTGTAGAATTTTGTTCTTCTGTTGGGTTTCTGGATTCTTAACTATTATGTGTAGATTTTTTTTTTTTATCACAGCTACTTGGAGTCCTGTATGCCTCCCTTATCTGTATGTCAAGTTCTCTTCCCCTGCTTGGGAAGTTTTCTGCCATCACTTCTGTGAACAATTTTTTTATGTTGTCTGAATTCTCTCTTGTTTCTTCATTGACTCCAGTCAGTCTTATGTTATTCTTCTTTGCATCGTCTAGCAGCTGCTGGATTGATTTCTCGTGGTCCCTTACAATTTTGAAGCAATTTTTCTTTCACTGGTCACTAATTGCAATCTTATCTTCTTTATCTGAAATTCTGTCCTCACATTGGCTCATTCTGCTGCATAGACTTTCAATGGAGTTTTTAATCTCCTGGAAATCTATTTGTATCTGCTTTATGGATTCCATTTGTTTCCTATGTTGGGATTCCATCATGTTCCTCAGCTCCTCTATTTTTTTTTAATCTGTGTCCTCTCTAGATTTATTAATCATGTCTTGCACTATAGGCACAATCTCTGCTGTTATCTGAGAAATTATTTCTGATTTCATTTTTTCCAGATCCTCTTTTGTTGCTGTTTCAGAGAGTCCAGGTTGTTGAGTATCAGAGTGTTCCATCTCGTTTCCCTTTGGGGTTGCTGTAGGTGATCTAGAAGTCTGGTTTTGAGGCTTGTTTA